AGCCATGGTCTCCCTAAGCAAGCTGCCAACTCTTTAGGTAGATATTATTACCGGCGAAAACAAGGAAGACTGGGATGGCTATTTCTGGCATATTAGCCGTCGTCAGCCCGTCATACCCAGACCCAATTAGCGTTCCACCCGAGGCTCGAACTCGCGACCTCCTTGATCAGAGTCACACGCCCTAACTTTTGAGCCACGAGTTCGTTGTCTTGCCGGGCTAGGTCGTGGGATATTGACACTCATTGAAGAACGTTCAACCGACTGCTGACGGAACTCCTCTGTCCCGCTCTGTCTGGGGTCTCGAGAGAGGCCCTGACAGCCATAGCAATTGGTAGTGTAGGCAGATAGTATTACCGGCAAAGCTAAGGGAGACTGGGATGGCCATTTCTGGCTTATTAGCTATCGTCAGCCATTCATACCCAGACCCAAATGGCGTCCCACCCGAGCCTCGAATTCACGACCTCTTTGATCAGAGTCAAACGTTCTAACCATTAAATCACAAACTCATTGCTAATAGAAGTGAATATGCGAGTTCCAGGAAACAGTTAAGAAGCAGAAGAAGATGCGACCACTGAAAAAAGTGTTTTATTTTGCTGACGTTTCGGATTCCGTCTGGAATCCTTAACCATAGGTAATGATAGGAAAAGTCTGAGTCATGCGCAGATAGGGGTGAAACATACCCAGATTGCGCGGAATTTATAGTTCGTAATGGTAATCCGTGTGCGTAATATAATTACCCACTCCTGTAGCAACCGCTTAGGTCTTAATTGATACGGTGATGGCTTGACACTTCGCGTTCAACTCATTAATTGCCACAATTTCCTTGTCCGTGTCGGATGCGGGTTTGGTAATTGCGCGATAATTATGCTCGCTGTCGTCAGTGTTGTTGCTGGGCCCGGCCCTTCCTACGTGATTGATTATCTTGTTCAGGTAATGTCTCAGTACACCGTATGGGAATGCCAAATCATTGCGCTTGTTGATAGACTGGTGGCCTGTAAACCATGATTCAGGCAACTCGCGGCACCCACGATTGTCACCTCTTGCGAGAATTCCAACATCAACCAATTTGAATGTATGGCTGGGTCTCGTCGAATAAACCGCGACCTGCCGTCATTTTTCAGCACGGAAAAGGTTTTTCGATGTAAAGTGCGCAGTGGTACCGATTTAGAATCACGGGGAGAATAAAAGCGAAAATGCGAGTACCAGGAAATAATTGGGAAGCAGATACAACAACTGCAAGAAGAACTTTATTTGCCTGACGTTTAGGATTCCATCACATCATCCGTATACACTTATTCCTGCGCAAAGCCGCCCAGACTTTTCACGGATCCATCGACCTAACTTAAGTGGCCTGTCTCTTTCTGTACACCGACACTGATGATCTCTGGGTGGCTAGTCGGAATGCTGAAGACCACAATGTGCAGCTCGCATCGGTGTTTTACCTCCCCGACGAATGAGACGTCATCATCAATCCATCGGAGTGCGTTATGATGTGCTTTAACTTAAATTCTTTGACCAGCATGCTGATCCTGATCCCTTGCGTCCTCTGCTCTACAAGGTTGAAGCTATCCGTAATTCCCCTGAACGAACCTTCAAGTGGCAGTTTCAAACTTTACAGTCGGATAATCCCAAACCGTGCTGGCCACATGCTGTCGCTTAGCAAATAAACGGCGAAGTACGGACAGTTCTGGAGAGAATCATGGCTTCCTTTATCAATGTTGCCTTGCTCAATCCTCCTGATCCCGAAACTTCTCTGTCACAGTTGACAGACGTTTCGAATATAGCTGTATGTACAGTCCATCAGCAACCCCTTGCTGGTGCGTCTCGACCATCAGCTTTTGTTTTCAAGAAATTCCTGTCGGCTGAATGCGATACGGTACCTTTGGCGTAAACTACTCGCAACTTGTCTGATGGTAGAGCATTTCCATCTGTTCCATGAAAGTCATGAGTTTACCACCTTAACAATAACAAACTCCTGACATTTACAAATTCCTATAACTATTTTCCTTTTCGAATTTGGGAGCCTTTAAGGAGGTCTAACATCCACCACAGTCAAGGTCCTCAAGAACAAAAAGCATAAATACCTTTACATAGCCCAATTGCGAAAATTTGACAGCCACAATAGGATTTGAACCCACCACAGCAGGAGGAAAGCTTTAGCATTGAAAACACTCTAAACACCGAAGCTACGAGGTCTCACTGGGAGCAGCGTGTTTAACTACAAAGAGGTCAAGGTAACCGCACAGGTTACCGCAACGCAGAGAATCCAACAGTTTTCACAGCAAGCTGTCTGGAGGATTTCTTAAGTTATTAATTTACAATCCACCAGATGACTACCAGCGCTCTTTATTAATTTGCACCGCCGGAAATAGACCCCTGTTTAGTCAAGGGCAGAGGTAGCATGAGTGATCTTTTTTATAGACGACTTGGCAGTACGTTAAACTAATTGCGGCTTCCAGATGTTTATTTGTTTGTTTCCCGCTCCTAGCCGGAGCAGCTCGTTCCTGTGGTCGTGAGCGGAAAAGCTTACTCACGCCCTCGGGTTCATCTCATGCTCCTGGTCAATTCTTTCCTGGAGCCATTCGCACTTTGGCACCGGCAAAGCAACGTGTGCCCTTCATTGAATGGCTTAATGCGACAAAGACATCTATAAGCATGTAGGTATAAGACCCTCAGGGGCGGACACAACTGAAGAGGCAGCTAGTAGTACCTGTTTGTAATGTATCTTGTAAGCTATTTCTCTCAGTAAAGCTCGTCCAACCTACTCAGTCTTTTCTGGTTTGTGGTAGGGAAACCCTTGTTTTGCCGATCTTACTACTTTGACAAAAAAGCTTAAATATCTACGACAAAGCGTTAATCTTTCATGTTCCTGTGGTGAGACTCACAAACATGATGTACGAGTGAGTGTCGTCTGGTTCACGTAGGTTAGGGATCAACAAGCCTGACACTAGTAGACAGGATGGGTGCGGCGTAGGCCACCAGATTGGCACTTACTTCAGCCGTACTGCAGCTGGAAAATTATGGGTGTGAGGAAAGGAAGCAACTTAGGAGTTGTCGCGTTCCGCTACAGTAATCCAATTCAAGCACATATCGCCACTGATCTCGTGACATGGAGGTCACGATTACCAGATGCGAAGGGCGAGCCATCGTTCTAAAACTTATATTTATCGTCGGGGGCAAGGTCGGGCAGAAAATATTTTATTGCATGGGGCCTCAGATGCATGCAGGGTGGTGATTGACACTGGTAAGAAAGGCAGGCAAGCAGGTAAATGACAGGCTTGCCCGGGAGCACAATATTTCATTTACTTCCACAGAACTGGTAACCTCGATTCAGTTGCATCCTTAATATGACCGCCTACATGGAAAGGAAGTAGCAACTATCTGTACTTACTGTTAGTTCGTCACGTTTATGTTCTGCTATCTGATTATTACGATGCAACATGCAAGGCCCGTCATAAGTTAAGCTACTTTTATCTCTGAGCCAAATACCTTCAAGAATGCACATAGAAATATGTCCAGCGTTTAATTTTTATACGTATTCGTGTTAGGACTTGAACTTATCATTCTTCCTTGAACTGTGATTTGGGAAACTTTCACGTTGTCGACTTCATAAACCCAAACAGCTTGGTTACATCGAACGAAAGGCGGTCTTCCAAATCTTCGATTTAGTCAGGCACTATCCATGGACAGCTTTTTACCCGAGATTCAGCGTATTTTGGCACCTGCTTTTGGCTATTTTACTACAACACCACATACTTAAATGGCCGAGCGGCCGATGAAGAGGCCCGGCACTACCAAGCCACCACTTGCCGTACTCTCAACTCTGCAGGATTCTCATACATGTCTCCATTCCCATTTGAGGGCTTAACTTGCGCTGCATAATCTACGGCTTGACGGATTACCCCATCCTCATCGCCACCGTGAGATGATTTAAACCATGTAAGAATAAAAACATCAAAGGTATCACCAGGAAAGGTAACTACTGCTTTGTTACAGTTTTCTGCCCATTGTTTTGATTTCAGCAAATAATTTACACATCGACTGGAAGACCTGAAGGCTCCAGACGTCAGCATAGCGACACATTTGTGTCAACTGCGGAACACCATCCAGTCCCCATCTCCGGCCACACACGTCGCCGAATCCAGAACTGGTTTAACGATAACAATGGCGACATCAGCAACCTACTCGCCGAGGATGACTGCCTACACGGACACCTGGGCTGAAGCAAACAAGTCGGTCTTCTTCAAATGCCGTTGCCTTGCACAGCAAACTCTTTGGGAGATGCAGGGGTCTGGATAGCAGGGAACGGCGAGAAAATCGAAGGGTACGCAGCGAAATACAAAAGCCTTGTATGCCACCAAGGCCATCTACCGTCTGTATCAAGCGAAAAGCGTCGCTAATCAGTTCCGATGGCACAATATGTCTGACTTAAAAATCACGGATTCTCTGAGCACGCCAGAACTGACCTCAACCGCTCATTAAAAATCTCAGATACTGCAATGAACCAGCTGTTCCCAGTGGAACCAAACTGCAACCTAGATTTCCAAACTTCCCTGACAGAAAGAATCCGAGCCGTTCAAGAAAATCCCAATGTAAACACATTGGGACGCGTCGAGATCCCGGCGCCGTGGCCCACGGCATAAATTAACACGATGTTATGTAGGGGCAGAAATTGTCGCCGAAATAACTTACATGCTCTTACTAGCGACAAGTCAGGCTTCCAAGTTGTATGCGAAATTCCTCGAAAGACTAACTGTAGCGAAGCAATTTGGTCACGTGCGGTTTAAAATCAACATGCTTCTAGCTGTGTTAAGCCGAAAGAGTTAAAAAAATCTGCTCTATCCCGATCAAGACTGGTTATCGCGTGGGCGCTGAGAGTACTCCCGGATAAAAAACAACTTTACAAGCACACTTCTGCCCACGCATTGGGTAAACTGTCATAAAAAGGTAAAGCAAAAAATCATTCTGAGCAAAGAACAAAAAGAACAGGTAGAAAAGTTCCTTCACCGGCCACAAAGTTAAAAAAAATAACGTGGAAAACTAGACTTTGAAGGAGAGAATGGAGTCAATGTTGACAGAATAGTAAACGGTCTTCAAAGTTTACCAATGGGATTGAAAAAAGGTCAACTGCATGTACAACGAAAACCCTGAATAGTTTCAGTCGTTTGAGAAAGACTCAGTAGTAATGAGGGAAAGATGTGGCGAAGAATATGTTAGTACACATCTCCGCATGCTGCTTTTTCCTTGAAAATAGTCGAACCACTAACATGTGCCTCAGTCCTCGGGTCCACGGCCGAATACCCTGACAAGTTGCCGGTGCATGCTGAAAAAATGAAATTGGACGAGCATATGTATTTTGTAAAATGACAGTTCGAAGAATAAATAGAGGGGACACGGAGTGCTACGAATGTAGTTTATGAAAGAGGAAAGCAGAGAATGGTGAAACGGAGACAGCCTGACCGATTATCAGAAGACTGCAGGGGTATAAAGTTGAAAAGAACTGGTACTAAAATGTGGGGAAGAAACAGCCTTAATAATTGAAAACTAATCAACAGCAGGCTCGAAGAAAATACGCGGCGAATAAGAAAATGAGACCGAATAAAAAAGCTCAAAGTTAGGCCTTAACAGTGGCAAATCAGGTCATTCAATGATGTCGGTTGAATACGAGAGCTGCTTACTATTTGTCGTTAAGGTTGCATGCCATTGGAGATAGGTTAGTTCCCTGAATATATTAAATGCTAGCTATAAAACAGTACTACAACGTGAAGTCTAATATCAGGGCAGTTGTTTCTCAGCGTATAACGCACGCTTTGAGCTATCTATGTCAAAATCTGACGCAACTAATGCAAAGTAAGTGTGACTCTAAAATTTGATTCCTAAATAACTCTGCTTGAAACTTCAATAATTCTGTTTAGCTTGCACCTATAGATAATGAAAACGGCCAACAACGCTAATTTCAGGGTCTGCTGTGTTTTTCGACAACATCGCCCGAATAAACATCATTTTTGCTTGGGCAAGAAAAGCATGCACTCAACTTCCGTAATAGTTCTTGCTAAATGGGCGGTTAATAAAGAATAGGAAATCTGGTTTGAAGTTCCAAAAGTTAATCGGAAGTGTGGAGTGTGGGGAAAAAGGCCCCGTAAGCCACTGAAAAAAAAAACATTAAAACATCAGAAAAAAGCAGATTTACAAGCTTAAACTACTACAAGCACATAGTGTAAATACGCACCGACAAAAGACGTGGGCCTGTCGCAAAATCTCTCCATCGACACACCAGACGGAAACATTGGGATCTCTGTGCTTAGCGTGCACACTAGCAGTGAGAACGCTATCAGACAGTGTACTGGGAGTACACGTCGGAAGAGGCCGGTTGTTGCGGTCCAGAGGGGTGAACTCCATTGCGTGAACCCGATGTACCTCCACGAAAGGCAACTTTAAGTGCTCGGCGGTGACGGCAGGATGATGAGTTGAAGTCCCAGACGACTTAGCATTTGTCAGTAGGACTAGGTACTGCAGGAACTCGTGATGCGAGCATTTGTGTACCAGTATCAAATCAAGACAACCGTCACCAAGGTGAGCGGACGGTGCCGGACCCTGCGGGGATTTAACACAGCGACAGGATATGGGAAAGGCATTAATGGCGATGAAGGAACCGGTCACTGATTCCCAGCCGGGTTTCAGATTAAAGTCGCCGGAGCTATCCACGAGCGGAAGGGCTTGAACTGCAAGTTAATGATAGAAAAAATACCAGAGGTCGGTTATCTCAGTTTTTGTAGGACAAAACACCGAAGAGGCGGCGATCAACGCAGATCAAGTCACTGAAGAAGAAAAAATCCCCTCACAAAAAAGAGTATTCTACTTTAGCCGACAGCGGCTTTTGCATGCAAAAAATGCTCGACTGACGGTCACGTGCGGCAGAAAATTGTCGTGCACAAAAGAAAAATCACACGGGGGCTAATTGCAGCGAGCGGGGGAGTAGGAAGATGGTTCAAACTATCAAAAAACACCGAGGAAGCCATGCTAACCAAAGGACAAGGCCAGCCAACCAACAAAAAAACGTTAGGGAGCGGGACGTCAACTACGTGGTCTGTGAGCTTACTTTTATCCGTTTTCGAGATGACTAGTTATCCCGCCAGTGAAAAGTCCGGTAGTGAGGTTGGGTTTGAATTGCAGCATTAGGCAGAAGAAAAGTAAGAATTTTCAAAATACTTATTTGTTCACTCTGAATTAATGGAAGGTATGCGATGGGGAGTACTATTTCTTAGATGTACGAAAAGCAAAAATTACAAGTATTCAGTTTAATCGGGCGGCTAACGTGAATGGGAACTGAGTATCAGCAAAGACAAAAATGCAAAATTGAGATTAACCCCAAAAAGGGAGACAGTATACGTTTGACAGCAAAACAATAAAGTTCCTATAAAACGAATGTAGGACAACATGGCAACGAGAACGGAGGAAAACGCACCCGAACCTCCCACAGAAGCCAAAAAATGAAAGCGAAGTGCTAATTTTATGAAGTTGGTCCTTTTTATTGACTCTTAACGCAGTTTTCATTTCTTAATAATTTAATGGACGTTTAACGGTTTATTTCCACCCACATAAGGAGATGTGGGCGAAGTACACAGCATGCTATTTGAGCAGGAGTTTCCTTGGTAGTGGTCTCGGATACAGCAAGCCGTAGGTTTTTGT